CTTTCACTCATATTATAACATAAAATGTGTTGCTGTACCTTTAACTAGTAGAGTTAAGTCGAATGCTGTTTAACATAATAGTTTGTACTGTGTTGGTACTGCTAAAACATTCCTGGCATCAGTGACTGTTCACTTTAGAAGCTCATCTGTAATGATAAACAGACTTTTCAGACACTGAGTGAATTAAACAGATCAGCAGTGAGTCATTTAAAACGAAGAAGAGTGAGTTAAGGACAAATGTGTCTATATTAGACAATTTTATCTGTTTCTTTGTTTGTAATGAAAATTAATTAAATTGGTGCATTTAATACACAATTAAAAAATGTCTTTACAGCTTCAGGAACTTCAAGGGGAGCAACTGGTGTCAGTACTTCAGGTAATGGTAACATATATCAACTCTGTTTTCTTATTAGAGGATTTTGTTGCTGTTGTTGACAAGAGGACCCAAGTGTAGACACTGCACAGTAAGCAGGCGCACTCAGAGAGCACAACTCCCCCTAAGAGCAAGGGCTGTACTAAAAGTTTGATGTTTATGATGTTTTTATCACAACATGATGACATCAGCCTGTTTTTATTAAACATATCTACTTTAGCTGGCTGTTATTACAACATGCTTATGTCAGCATTGTTAATATGGAAATCTAGTCTAGTTTATTAACCTTTTTGTGTCTTTGTGAAGTCATGAAAACATAATGTGTTAAAGAGCTCAAACGAAGAAAGTGCTGATGTTCCACAATGACTAATATGTTGCTTTAAATTTTTGAGATGATTAAATAGAAACTAAAGCTTTTTCCTATATCGTGGGACCCTGACCTTTGACCTTGAGGTATTACATACTAAGATGGTGTATTTAATTATCTTTACCCATGTGATTGGAGCAGAATTGGCTGAAAACTTTGGCTTCTATAAGCTGTCAAAACTTTATGGCATCATTGTGATGATGTCAAAGTGTGTTGTACATCTCTTTCCATGCCCTCTCATATGACCTATTACTGGATATGTTGTTTTTTACATGATTATGGTTTGACCATAACCTTCATTATTAAACTCTGATACATTAAACAATGACAT